AAAAAAAGAAATTTTACTTTATTTGCAGGAAGATATCAGGAAACAATTCATAAAACTGAAATGACAGCAAGGGCATCGTTTTTGGAATGTAAAAACAAGATGAAACATCATGGTCGAGTCAGAGCGAGCACAGATTTTTGAACAGTTAGATGACTGATAACGAAGCGATAAGCACGACTAGAGATCGAAATCCGTACAGATTGTTCACGACTAATCAAAATACAAGATATAGTTTTGCTGGTTTATTTGAATTAGCCCAAAAGATGGAGGAGTCCCAGTTACGAGATTGATGAAACCGCGCCGTGCAATCGACACGACTCAGAATACGTACACAGTCGGCTCAGAATACCTACCCTACCCTAAACGCTTTGAAGATCTGACTGTGGGGAGATTGGAGGCCCCAAGGACCTAGTATTCCCATCTCATCGATTCCTTCCATTAATCAAAAGAAGATGTTTAGAAGTTGAAGAGGTTGAAGGGATATTTTATGATATCCAACATGACTTTCCCTTTCCTGCAAGCCATTGAATATATAAATCGCACTTGAACATCACTTAAATTCTAGCAATGTTTAAGTACGGGGGTGATTTCCAGGAACGAGACTAATCGCTGCCAGAATCATTATTTCTCTTCACTATCCCAACCGGATTTGCTTATGACGGCTTACTTTTTGTCTTTTATGACTATTACAATCATATATTTCGTTCAAATATTACAAATGATAACAGATAACTGGAAACGTTGGTAGGACGTGAAAGAGTTCTTCGGGAAACCACTAGGAAACAGGTTTGGCGGAATTTCCAGCCACTCGTGGAACGGCAGCATGGGAAAGGTGAAGAAAAAGGAAAAGGAACAGGGTGGAAAAGGGGGAGTCACAATTTACACATCGTGTCTTCCCAAACAGAACTGCGCTACATTACGGGCTTGCAATTTAGTACAACTGGGCACGGAACTAGTTGCAACTGTGGTATCTAAAAACCTGATAAAGAAAAAGATGAGGCCAGACAGTTGCTTGGCAATTAACCATGAGAATCGCATGGAGAAAATCGTTTCAAAGAAGGAAATCATGGAATCAGAGGCATAAGTGAGCCTGTTTTTCCGTCATTCTTTACAAAGACTTGTTTTAGGCATCGAGAGGAGCATCATTAGAAACTTGTAAATATTATACTTTTAAAAACCCTGTCTTGAAAACATACGCTGCACCGTATGTGTTTGCCACCTGCTAAAGCCAGAAGATCCAGAAGAAGGAGGCTCAGATTCAACAGTACTGTGACTGTCTCCTTGGATTCCAAAACTCTTCCCCCACTCCTCAACCTCCCTCGCTTCTGTGAAGAATAAGAAATGGTAAAAAAGTTGGTGGTTTAAGCAAGTAACGTCGGGGTTGTGGGAGAGTAGGAATAAGGGCAGGGCAAATAACCTCCAACAACGAAGATTTTATGAATTCAGGGAAGCATTCGAGATTCTTCCCGACTGCCTCTCTGACTTCGTGAATCCTGGACTCAGGAGAAAAGAACCTAGAACTCCCCAAACATTGTCAACAAGTGGGTGCACAGTAACACACCTCCACCTCTCTGATTAGTTTTACGAATACAAATTACAGCCGGATGCTCTAGGTAAGAACAAGTTTCGAGAGAAACAGACAAACAGACAGACAGACAGACAGACAGACAGACAGACAGACAGACAGACAGACAGACGTCTGATAGAGCACTTTCTATTAATGACTTGTGAACAACCTGACAGTATGGGAAAATCAAATAAACACATCGGAAGACGTTCAGCGTTGACTAAAAAGAGATGAACCCAATCTTTCGAGGGAAATCCTTATCTTATGGCAAGAGAAACAAAACGTACATGATGGTTTCAATAATAATAGGTTGATTAACTAGAAGAAGCATTGCGGAGGTAAGAATAACGAAGGCCTGATTGCTGGGAAGAAAGCGAAATGAACACGCACCAAATTTGACGGAATCGATTGATTGGAACACTGATAGGCGTTGACCTTATCTGTTCTCTGCCACACAGAACTGCCGTAGAACTGATCTTGGTTAAAAATTGAGTAAAATACTTACTCAAATGTTGAAAATATTAAAAATTGAGTAGAATACTTACTCAAATATTGAAAATATCAAAAATTGAGTAAAATACTTACTCAAATGTTGAAAATAGTAAAGCATTAAGTCTCTGTCTGTTACCTTCTGCCGACTGGTTTTAAATAAAGTCTCCATCAAAGCTGCCTTCACATTATCTCACTGATTCTCTTACATAATCCTTTCTGTTTCGGTTTGGTACTTCTGCTTTTTTTTTGTTTTTTAAGGGATTCCTCAAAGTTCTACATACAATTTATTGGCCAATATTTTGCGAACTCCAATTCATTCACCTTGTTGTCCATCTTTTTCACATGATTTTGCTTACCACTTCTAAATCAATTATGAACCTCGCAGCTGGTAAAAACAGTGGCATAAGTGACGAATAGGCGGATCGGCCCACTCGTTGTATCGGTACTGATTTTTCCTATATTTTCCATTTTTCTTTTCTGAGGTGCATTAGTGATTTTGTTTTGTATTCGTGTATACGCCCGAGGCCAATAATAGTCACCTTCCACGTTCCTACTACGTAGAAGAGAATTCAATCTCAGTGGTGAGGTTTTTCGGAGGGAGAAGGTGCAGACAGAAAGACGGTTCTGACCATAATAAGTGGAAATCTCGGATTGGTGACAAGAACAGATTGGGTTTACAAACGGATGTTAATTCAAAAAAAAANAAAAAAAAATATACCTATGCGTTGTAGAACGTAAAAAACGATAAAAACAGTTCGAATTCAAATTCAATTCCACTCAACTTATCAATCACTACTTTTAGTAGAATACCGAATGAACTTTCTGATACTTGAGTCTCTCAAAAGGGACACGTGGAAAGGAGAAGCTCCCAAAACACGAATCCGCCAAGGTTGTACCGGATTTTCTTTACTCCTCCATGAACACTCATTCTGAACTACATTTCAAACATTGAAACAGACAGGTTTTCATAGAATGATGTTGAAGGAGGTTTACTTTCTGTCATTAGAACTAATATTTCCAAAGATCATCCACCGAAGAAAGAGAGTAAGGCCAGGGAACAGCGTTTCGAAGAGCAATCTTGACCGACTATTCCGAAGTGGGAGACAAAAAAACCTCTGTCTCCTTTTTGCTGTGGCAATACTCTAAATAAAAGTGAAGTCTTAGAACCCAGTTTCGTTGCCAACATCTCACGTTCAATTCTGTACTGAAAAATTGCTTACAGGAAACGGTAATCACTTTTACTGTTTCTACAAGTGTAATATCTTATTGGTAAGAGTAATGCAGACTATGTAGGAACAGACTTTCTGGAAATAAAAAACCCATCTAGTCTGTTCAATTTGTTCGGTGGATGTACTCATAATAGTGACACTAGTACAGCAAACTTCTACAAGGAAACATCAACGATTTTCACCCCTTAATTTCCAATTCTAGATATACGAAATACCGTAGAAAATTATTTACAAACCTCTGTCCTTGCTCACATTATGCCGTCCGGGCTACCGCAATCGTATGCCTGGCATCGTTGCACTGTGAAACTGAATCCGTCTACAAAAAAGTCTTTGGCTACAAAGTAGATTAGCCTGGTCCTCCATGCGATCTTAGCCACATCTTCATAACCTTCTTACTTAAACATGGTCTGACTATTTACATTTAAGGCAGGTAACTCTACGGCTTCGATGAATTAAAAGCTGCCACGAAGCACTTCTATGCTCCCACTAAATCGAGAACTTCTTCAACACCTTTTATTGTTCCCAAGTACCTATAAACTAAGTAAAGGATACATATCAGGCAGATCTGTTGGCCCTGCCACAGAATAAATGGCCTTCACCATAAGTAATGACAAAAGCTGTATGAAAACGAATAAATATGATTAAAAATATGATCTATGTGCTACTTCAGTGACAGTGATTAAACAAAAACATTCACGTGGGCATAAATGAACAAGGATCCCTATTTTCAAAAAATCTCAAGTGACCTGCACGTGGTACTAAAAATGTACAATATTTACAACAGGCAGGGAGTAATTACATTAATTGGAAACGAAAACAGGTAGAATAAAAATGCAGTTATAAACCAGCTCGAACTTCATCCACTATAAAAAAAACCCTCGAATACTGACGAATTGATACAAAAACTCAGGCTACAAAACAAAAAATCTATAATACTTAGAAAAAACGAAAATACTGTGACAAAACTAAGTATTTTTGCACATCCAATGAAGAAACTCAATTTGCACATAAAGAAAAAATTAAAAGGCAGTGGCCATAGTAGCAGTCTAGGCGGAATCTCTAGGCTACTAGAATTCCACATAGGTTTGGAACTTCTCGAAGAAACTTACCCAGATCCTTTCCCTACGCACTCAGCAGAGCCACTGCCTTTCAGAAGTCAGTTTACTCAATGCATTCCACTTTAATTTCCTTCTTCACAACTACACCATTGCGGACTGCATCATTCGGGACGGGTATTGGAGGTTCTTGTTTTACGGCAGTGTTGTCAACAATGAAAGATGACAAGCTTAGGAATTCTGAAAAAAGACAATATAGTAAAGCAATAGCGATTCAGAGATGTTCATGCAGAACCTTTCAAAAATCGATCAAACCACAATTTTTGTTTTCGCAAGCGAGCCAATATTGCTAGCCAGCAATAAGCAGCACAACCGGTTCTTGTTTAAACTGCTCTACAAAACAGGAAAACCGTCTAATCAATTAGTATCAACCCGACTCAATGTTACTGCTACAATTACACCTCCTCATTACCGTTTTATACCACACGCTCAATCAGTTTCCAATATGTTGACGATGCAGCTGAGAGAGTGTGTTTAAAAGACAATTAACACCTGAAGACCAAAGTAAATCTAAGAGATTTCGAGGAAACAAACTTGTTCTGTTGCATTTCGCTATAAATCGGATGGAAATATTGCACCAAGATTAGAGAAGTGAAAAATACGCGACTGAACATTTTTACGTTTCGCGAGGGGGAGGTCGAGAGCTGAGTAAAGATTGCACTGTCAAGAACCAATGTTAATCATGAACTTTGGGTCTGAAAATTAAATTGCTTGAAACCCTCCTCGATTGCATCAACTTGTTTAACAGACTATTTGATTGCCACAAAAGTTAGCTTTCACAAATAATTCAGCCAATGAATGCTCAAAACGCCCAAAAGATCACCCTACCATTACCGTTACTCCGGACGCAATGCCTTCGTAAACCGAACTTAATAATGGTGAGATATTTTTATAGAATACAGAATCATGAATCAATAAATAATGAATAAGAAAGCCAATATGTAGCTAATAACACATAGAAGCAAAATGTGCTTAAATGCAAAACACTAACCTAAGAACGCTTCCGGCTCCTTCAACAAATGCTTCTGCAAGATATGCCATCGAAAGCCTTTTCTACTACCCATAACGGACAGACATATTGGGCACTGATTCATCACTATCATTTCTGTAAAATCGAATGGTCGAATAATAATGAGGTAGCAAAATACCGGTTACAGTTTTATAGAGATAAATGAATAGAAAATGAAATGACTTAATGAATAGATATCGAGAAAATGAAGAAAAAGAACAAAATATAAAGAAGTTCAATGTCTGAAAACCACCTCCTAATTCGTTCTGCATTTGCTCTAATCGATCCCAAATTTCATGAACATTGTCTTCAAAGTGCGTCAGAAGATGGGAATCTCGCATCTTAAATAGCATATGGAAGGTGGGTGAAAACCAGACTATTTTTTGGGTGAAAACCCAAGCTATTTTTGAAGATCAAGTAAAGGACAGCAAAATCAAGTACAACCCACATGCTTGGTGTTAAACTGACTGCCGCAATATTCGCATGGAAATTTGGGAGGGACTCGTATCTTTCCATGGGACGCACGCTCGTGTAAGACAACTTCATGAACAGCTGAAATGCACACTGATGAGTTGAAAGTAAACGAGTCCCCCATTCACACACAAACAAAAAAAAAATACTTTGAAACGTTTTGAAACACATTCGACATTCCATCAGAGCGCTTGGGCGTGTGCAATCTCGGTAATGAATTTTGAGGTGTTCCTCGAGATCTTCCGCAAAAGCGTCGCAGATGCTGAAAGCATAAGTGCTCACACGAGGACCACCACAAAGGATGTCAGAGAAAGGAAACATGGAAGGTATGTAGCTAACGATAAATATTACTCGGTCTAATTATTGAGAGACATCATCAAATGGACTGCAAATCAGGGTCCCAACTTTCCCTTGCTGTAAGCTCACATTTTGATTACAAAGAATATCTTCTGAACTCAAGTCTTCCCTTTAAGAAACGATTCGTTAACTCAACGCATAAAGTTCCGTTTGCAAATATTTCGAGTCTAGGACATGAGCTTTACCCCCATCATGCCCTCTACTAATTCTAGCACTTTCGGCGGCCTGTTTCGCACTCAGCAGTTGGTCATTCCAGGTAGTATTACGTCCTAAAAATGTAAAGTGAGTAAGGAGTAGCCCACCTAACAGGTAAGGCATGCACTATTCAATGTGAAAGCAGTTTTTGAAAAAAAAAAACAGCGGACATCACAAAATGTAGAAAGGGTGTGGGTGAAACACAAAGTGAAAGAAAAAACTTTAAAAAATCTAAGTTTGTACAATGATCAGTCATGTCAGCACAAATATTATCCCAACACCATATGGAAGTCGGAAAATTGAAACAAATGTATCCATACCTGCAGATATGCTTTTGCCGAATGAACTCATGCGATGCGTTACAATGGGAACAGCGAACGGCAAGGGGATACGGATGCTAGAGAACAAAAGCTACTCTCTGTTCAGTGAATGAACAATAATAATAAATATCTACCTCGAAAAGTACATGCTCATGAAGCAGCGCATGCGTAAATACGGCTATGCCACAGTGACAATATACTCTTGGCTCAATGGGAATAGACGCGGCTGAAAATAACAGAAAAATGAGGAAATCTCCTCTAGTTCCAATCAATACAAGTTATTCCGAATAATCAAAAGAATAGAATTGATTCGAATAGAAGAAAAAGTACTTCCACTATTTTAACACCATCTCCTGTAGAACAGAACATACCTTTTCTTTTACCACCCTTTTTGGGCGTGTATAACCTCTTGCGTTTGGGTTTTCTGTTGGGTTTCCTTCTGCTGACACCTACAATTACTGGTTATACGAAACCATGTCACTGCAGTAAGACATAAGCTATCAAAGAACATGGTTTAATATTCTTTGTATTAGTTGATCGAAGTTCGGAACACTCTTCAAGATAGGAATTCCTCTTTCTTAATCCTAAGGCAAGCCTACCCCTGTCACCTACGCTGGCACAACCGCTAGGCATACGGGCGTTGGAGGATCGTTCATGGACAAAAACTATGGAATGCACTGTGCTACACTCCTTCCATGCCTAAGTTCTTTCGTTAGCTTTGGAAGCACACATCAACTCAGAGTGGAAATTCCCCTTCCCGCGCGTCCTATCTCCCTGCAAAGCTCTAAAAGAATATACTCCACAGTCAATCTGCTCTCCTATGAACCACTATCCTTCTCTATTGGTAATAATGAAGAGCATTTGTGGGAAACAGTATGCAAAAACAATAGCAAAAGAAATTTAGGGTAATCGAAAACCCAACTTACCAGAGTTTCGCGCTAGTTGCGGCTTCGGGACTTCTCCCTCTACAGGAAGAACTGTTGGTTGGGAATCAAAACGGACTCGTGACCTTTCTGGTAGAGTTTCACTTGTGCATCTTTTCCGAACCTACAAAATAAACGTTAACAATTGATGAGAGAACGGAAAAGCAAGCATGATTAAAGACCGTATGTGACAAACAAAAAACTCGCAAAGAAAAAAAATGACAGAAAAAAGGTAAAAAATGAACTGCACAAAAATCGTTATTTAGCATAAAAAACCGAAAATATCGGCATTCGCTACATCGAAGGAACAAAAAACTGGTTACCTCATCCCCAATTGCGTCAGACTGTGGTGGAGTGGACGGAAGCGATGCTTCGGACAATGCCTTCTTGACGACGCAAGCAAAAATGGCATCGTATCGTTCATGAAGAGCTATCCGCTCACGGAAACGAGTCGGATAAGTTCTACTGGAAAAAAAGTTGTTATGTTCCAAGTCGATAAAGATGAAGTAGAAAGGAAGAAAGAAAGGATACTACAAGGACATGTGAAAGATAATTTACTAAAGAACAGCAGAACTCTTCGACAAAACCTAAAAAAAAAGTTGGAAAAAGGTATCTCATATCAGAATCGTTCAGAAGATAGTTGCATCGAAGGCCATACTTTGCAAAGTAATGATTGATGGTGCTGAACGCGTCATTACACTTACATTCCATTTCAAAAAGTTAAGTATCAGATAAAATCACATTCTCTCTTTCACCTGCCCGAATAATGTAGAAATTCTTGTAGATTTCTTTTCTCAGAGATAGTGCACCTAAGGTCAAGTTTAACACTAAGGCAAATATCAAGATGAAAAAAAGTTTAAAAAAAAAGAAGCAATATAGCCATATATTGGCAGCTAAAGTACGCTCTGTACGCCGAATGCCAAAGAAGCGATTCCAACCATGGACCGAATGTTTTAATCTATGGCTTCTCTAGATCTCTTTGGTAGCGACCATAAATAACCACAATGAGTAGGAACCAAAAACCTTCTCCCTCAAAGATGGACACGGCAATAACTCAATAGCGAGAAACTCCATTTTTTGGAAACGCAATAATCCTTAAATCGGACGGCTCTTGCAAGTGTTGTGTTGGAAACACATATGCCCCGAATGAATCTACCAAAACAGGAGTTTTTGAATAAGTTTCTTTTCCATCATGTCATTCAAGAACCCAGAGAACATAGATGTTGGTAGAATCCCAACGAATGGCGAGAGGTACTGTGTCATTTTGAGAAAAATGAGTAAGGAGAACAATAAAGGTAGCGGAAAAGCAAAATTTCACACGAAAGGAAGCTTAAACAAACCAACTGAACCATGGCTAACAAAATGGATAAGTTAGCACTGAAGGTTTTGTCTAAAAATTCAAAAGTTCAAAATGCTAACTTCGCCTGTTCTGCAGCCGGTGACATTCTCTCCTAGTAACACGTGGAATATGTCGATATACGGCTTTCTGGAAAGCATTTACAAAAAGCATTTCAAAGCTGATATCGAAATCAATAGACATAATTGATCAAAAACAAGATGAATTATCAACTCACTTTCTCACCGTCGTTTTCCAACTGGCATCGTTTTCGGCGCACTAGAGATGTGTGTCTGCAAAACTGGCATAGGAAACTTGATCTGATGAATCTTCCATCAAATGAAACGTGTGTGTGAGTGGAACGCGTACAAATAAAACCACTGTCTGCGTAAAGAACAGCAATCGCCATTTCAAGGATGAAAAGATATTTTGTGATTAGGAAGAAATTCAAAGAAGTTTGCAGAGAACGTCAATACCTGAGTACTTTTTGATGATGGGTATATAGCACTTTTTCTGGTCAACCTATCAGTAATCATTAACTGGAGAATATTACATATCGTCGTTGTATCTATAGTTTGTATTACGTATAACCCAGTATTCAGTGTGAGGTATGGAGCAGGATGCAATACCTGTGAGTTCAGGGTTTTTTGTATCCTTCGGGAAGCATTCCACAAAAACTCTTATCAACTCTGGAATTGCTTCAACAAATTTATGGGCTGTTTCATCAAGTGACGACAGGGGACCATTCCGAATTCGAAGAACTCTCGGAATACTTTCATTTTCGAAATTGCTAAACTAGAATGTAGGTTTACAGTGCTGTCCTGTACTGATTGGAGACCCTATCGTTATTAATTTCAATTACATCACAGGCAAAATTTTCAAGTCAAAACTAGCCACTTTGTTTTGATGAAAGGAATAATTCCTTGAAAAAATGACAAAATTCACTGAGTGCCAGCACTTTCACAGTCCAACAAGACCAAGCTTAGATGCGGAACCACAACAAAACAACAATCTCAGAAAAAAAACCTTTTTACGTTTTCGAAACAATTCAATAGTACTGTATACTCTTATACTGCTGCACTGACAAGTATTACTGCCTAGTACCTAATTCAGAAACTTTCAAATGCGCAACAATAGAGTTTGCAAAAAGTTAAAGGTACCTGATGGCAGTACTAAAAATTAGCTAGTAAATATAAAGGCAATGCATAAGTGATAAGATTATTAACTTATTTCCACGAAAATTGCATTTCTTCGATGATTGTAAAATGCAGATTGAATCGTAGCATCTCCCTCAAAACTTTATGAAAACAATTACGAGTATTTTCCTCTCCCACTTCAAAAAATAGTTATTCAGCTGTTCAGACAGTCTTTAACAAAAAACAGAAACAAAAAAAAACTTTCCATTAAGCATTTTATTGAGCAGTAAAGAATCTGAAAGACTGAAGAACCGAAGGAATCAACGACCGGTCAGTAAACCTTCCCAAGAGTGTTAAATGAGAAAAATCGAAATTGAATCGACGTAGAGTAACAAAGTTGAAAAGTACCAAGTAGTAAAGTAAAAAGAAACAACAAAGAGAAAACGGAAGGTGGGCGATTCGGTAGGGGTGCACTTCGGCCAGGAGGAACGGAGGAGATGGCGATCGATCGCGCGGAGAGGCAGCATCGGTCAGCTGTACGGGCAAGGAGCGGTCAGACATCCCCACAAAGGTGAAACAGCGCAGCAATTTGATGACGGAAAACTGGAATAGCGCTCACATCCACACCCGATGGGATGGACAAAAGAAAGATTCCTTTCACGGGCAATAACATGAATCGATCAAAATCAAACAGTGAAATCCATTTCATTTTGCGTCACCAACGAAAAGACTAGGGTGGATTCAAGTAATTCAGTGATACAGCCGCATTCTAATAATAAGTAAAGCTTATTTAATGTCCAAATTCCCAAGTTATAGATGAGTAGATGCAGCTGCCGCAGTCGTGGAGAACGGTCCTGACACGATTGTCTACAAGCGGCAACGTGTCAGGACCAACGTCCATTGTACGTAGGGCCTGGTGCTCTATCAAAGGGTGCCGGCGGTGTAGTGGCCCAGTTTTGAAGGATGACGACGACGGTTGCACTTACCGACCTATACCCAACTTCTCAACGATGTAGCTGTTAAATAATCAAGGAAACAAGGTTTCACCAGAGAATAATCGTATGTTACCCTTTATTATGAATGATGGGAAACAACGTACGACATGACATCCGTTAGTATGAAGCCATAGCAACTACCCTAAAATTCCATAGATAAGAGCGGGTGAACCTACTGGTGAAAAATGAATTGGAAAATTTTTCCAATCCATTTTTCACCGGTAGGTTCACCCGCTCTTATCTATGGAATTTAGGGTAATTGGATACATACCGAGCTGTCATACCTGCCTAGTTCGGAACATGAATTCTGTTTGACATAAAGCTGTTGAGAGAGCACTGTCAGTCTAAATTCGAAGTCGATTTCGTGACACAGTAATCCGACTATGGGTCCTGGTCTCCATGTCTGCTTATGACCCAACGCAGTCTTGAATTTGCTTCACGTCACGACTTTCCAGAAGCTTTTCTAAGTAATTAACTACGTCTCGGACAACACGGATGGGAGATGGTATACAGAAGGGGCCAATTTTTACCAGGAGACCGGGGCTCAGACAGTAGGGTCCAGGAGGTGCAGTGAAGATGGCAGCACTCAGGAATACCAAATGGCTACGAAAATTACAAAGCACCCACGCATTATTTCCACCAAATATAATGGGTTACAAGAAGGGATTAAAGAGTGGTAGTGGCTGTTTCTATACCTCTTATTCATTCTGGACAGGACCTCCCGATAATCTACAATTAAAGGCACTGTTCACGATAAAAATGGTTTCGGAGATTTTCCCATGGTATGAATTCGAGTAACCGGTATCAGGTCCGTTTCGGTGTCAAAGAACAGTCGTATTAGGCGGTGCAATCAAAAAGTTTCGTTAGACACATACCCTTTAAAATACCTATGTAACTTCATGTAGTGGGCGGAAGTGGTGTAATGGCTACTGGTGCACACATGCATGGTCCCGGGATTAAATCCTGGATCGGTATTCGTCCGAGCCGAAGAAGCCTTCAATCCCTTCCTGGTTGATTAATTGTTACCAAGCTTGTCTGTGAGGTTTGAAGCACCGACTTGGACATCGGCTGGCCATCGCAAGTAATTATAGACCACATACACTTCCAAAACGTCACTACGACTTTGAATGGATTTTGAATGCCAGGGCGCATCCCAGAAACGAGATTGATAAACTCCAAGGAAATCCTTGATCCTTTAACCTCGACCTTACATAACCAAAATAAGGACATATACTATAGCACAGTTTGAAAATGTTTATCAAATTTTTAAGTAAATATTCAGAGACACAGTGATATAAACAATAACAATCCAAGCTTAAACAAGAAGCAAGAGAAAAGGCTGTCACAGGTCAACACATCTAAAAGACACTTTGTTCAAGAGAACTATGGACTTCGACCTTTTCCCGTTCCCCGATGTCCATTCACCACGAAAAATAAGTAAACAAACAAACTCCCACAGCACAGCCCTCGTACAGGAGGCGAGTAAGGAAAGTTTGCGACTTCTCCCTTCTTGGCTTTCAAAGGTAGCCCGTGACGGGCATCTTTCAGGTCAATCAGGAAAAACGTGTAAGCCGACAACTTTCAACACGGTGAAACATGTTCCATACAAGGAGAGTTTGACTACGCCCTTTCACCCAGTATTCCCCCCGTGAGTCATTGAATATTGAATTCCTGTCCCATCTTAGCTTTTTCCCCAATATAATGGTCTCGCCCACCCCGACTCTTCCCCCTGAAGCTTAGGTGGGAGAAACTATATTTTTTCGGCTAAGAAACTTTCCCAAGTACCTTTATGGGCACGCGAATTCGGCTACCACTCCCCTGCGCACTAGCGCTCAATGTTGGAGAAGAGCGGTGTTTCCTCCCAACTACATTTTCCCAGTAACTCATTTATGAAAATGTTTCAAGGACAATGCCTTCGGATAAAAAAATCGACTAATCAAAAAACAGGAATTTTATTTCTTCTTATGGCAACACCGGAATTTGAGAGTTACACATTTTTTACTTTTTTTACTTTCAATTTTCGGAAAATTATTTTATTTTCTTCACATTCATTTTGTTTCTTCGTTGCTTTCTCATATGTCCAAGAAGTTTCCGACTGATGAATGGGAATACAGCAAATGCAATTACGGCAATGATGGCCGAGAAGTTCAGTGTCAGATCCAGGTATGGAAGAAGAATGGAGTACTTGCCAGTTTCATAGTAGTACTTCAACGATGTCACCATACTGAGCCCTGGAATTCGAGGAAATACAGGAGCTGGAATGTCTATAGAATGACGCTCTAGCAACTGAAAAAAAGACCTTTCAAACCCTACTGAAATATAGTGTGAAATAATGTTAAAATTAATTAATATAAAACCTTTATATCTAAATAAGTTAAATAAATAAGTCCTTCAAATATTTTATCTTACATTCCATAGTGAGTCCAAGTGGATAGAGAGGGATCCATGCTGTGTACCGTAACCATGCAAGCACATAGACTTCGATGTCCCATGCTCGTAGAGCGTAATAAGGATATCTAAAATCGTGTTGTACTAATCTACTAAAGGCTATATTTTGGTGCAGTTTGGCTGCAGTCCTTTCATAGTCAGATGGGTTACAAGTACTGCAGTGTTGAAAGCAGTCTTCACGGGAACAAGTGAGTCAATTAAAGGCATGGATCCCAAAACGAAAAAAAGTTGAAGCAAGCATTGTTTCCGCATAGAATAAGGAAAAAATGAGTCAAAAATGCCACTGAAGCCCAATGAAACTCTAGCGGATTATAATTTTAATTACATTGCCTGTGTGCCTCTCGCTGTGTTTTTGTTTCTGTTCCCATTTAATAACTACTCATATTTGACATGTAATAAATAAACAAACCAATAACTGTTTATGATTATAATATTCTTCTGCCGTGCGAGGTTGTTAGGTGGAACAGTTTATTTATCAACGGCGGATATATAATCCGCTTGAGCGGTGGAACCTTGGCCACTGAAGACGACGAGAACGTCGAAACGTTAGGCCGTTGATAAATAAACTGTTCCACCTAACAACCTCGCACGGCACAAGAATATTATAATCATAAACAACTATGCCGAGGTTAAAACAAGAGAGAAGCTGGAGACTATTAAACCAATAACTGATTTTTGGTTTCTAAATAAAAATTTTATTATTCAAAGCAAATTTTCAAGGATTCAATACTCTAAAACAAAGTTGCTCCGATGATGTTAAGCAGAATACAGAGTCAAAAGCTTCTATGTCATTCTGCATTTCGGTTCGAACACGTTCTGCATAATGCGGCTTTTGCCACGCCCCTTGTTCCTGGATCAGCTCCCAAAAAGGGATTTTTCCATGAATTTATGTCCACAGAAATCAACTTTAGTATATTAAATCTTATTAACGATAAAACATTGAAGACTTCACATTTATAGAGGCACGCTATTCCGATGCCTTTGACATAACCAAATTATGATATTATTCAAAAGTAATATCAAGTAAAGTTCACTAATGAAATCTACTCACCGGAACAATTCGATCAGTACCCATGCAAATAGTAGGACAGGTGTGGAAATTTGATTATGTATAGTTGGATTGCCTTCGATCAGGAACAGCATGAAAAGACGGCCAAGTACCTATAGAATTGAAGTGCAAGAAGTTTATGGGTCATTTCAAAGCCCATTTCAGAACTACACTTCTCATTTTCCTCTTCTCACCTTTTTATTTGCACTGATTTGGCTCCTTCTATGCTCCTTTCGAGCGAGTTCAGTCTTTCTCTCCCATGGATTCCTGCTTACTCGTGTTATAGCATGTATTTAGGGGAGAGATGGCCTGGCACTTACCCAACCCACATGTCAAACTGGTTGCATACCATACAGGGAAATCGTATTTACATGACCTCCTATATCTTCGAAATGCATCAGCTTCTTTTTGCACTTTCTCCTTGAGATCGATCCTCCCCTACACGATTAGCCCAGAATTTTATTTTTCTAATGATCCAGATTGATCGATGGAAGGATGAGACTTAGCCGGAAAAATAAGGGTAATAATCTGTACAATTACTGCCCAGACCCAGTAGTACTCAAGTGCATCATACTTTCGAATATGAGTCGATGGCATGGCGCACTCCAGAAGGAATAGTCAAAGCAGAACACTTCACTAAACCTTCTCTACATTCATTCTCGCGTTGATTTCCCTAATGATAGCCAATAACTTCTTGCTTCGGTACCTGTAGAAGACCAGCTGCGATACCCGTTGTGGTGATACCAAGAACACCATGGACGACATCCAGAAGTTGGGCAGCTGTTCCGATACAGAAGAGTGGGAAGTGGTCTTTATAGACAAATTTACCTGAAATTCCAACCCTGTCGTGATTGATATTCATTAAAATTTACTTCATTGTATTTATTATTATAAAATTATTCATCTCAGACGTACCTGAGGTTACAGCATTTACCAGATCCAAAAATATCTTCAAGTGAATGGCGAACAGTGCAACATTGTAGAGAAATATGTAAGCAGAGAGTAAAGAGGATCTTCTGGCAGGTTTTCCCATGTGGGAAGTATCTGTAAACAGCTGGTAAGAATTATTTCATTTGGTTTGTTCTGTTAAATTGTACTTGTGCCTCTGACGGGGTTACTCTCTGCTGTAGAATACAGTAGAAGGCTCCGAAAGAGGCAAAAGCCCCGGTTATAACTACGTCCCTGCTACGCTAAGCGTGTAGGTACTTTTTCCTATTCAGGAACGCAAGGTACAAAAATGATCTGAACTTCAATCGGGAATAAACGTTATCGCACCCTGGTAAACAAAATGGTGATAGTGGTGGTATCACATGGGAGTATTGATTCGGTACCGAATGATAACTACCACTTCATTACTTATGTGGTCTCTGGTTGCTCGAAAATACCAAAAAAAGTGGTAAATCCATAAAAAAAACTCATGGAGAGGGTTTCAAATGAAAGAATTTCTCTTTGCCCTCATGCAACTTCGTTTTTGATACTGAATACAGTGCCTTCTTCCAAATTGACCCCCTGTCTGGCTAGACTAGGCTCCTTTTCGAGAAAGGACGCTTCACCCCTAATGTTTGGTAGAGTCATGCCCAGGGTGGGTAAAATTTATGGGTAAAAACACATGACCAGGACCTGAGAAAGCCCCCTATGAGCTATCTTACAGTCACGAAAAAGCGATCCCAGATGGAACTTGCTAGAAAACCCATAGCAGATATCGATGCAAATGGAAGAATAACCGGTGGTGGGAGATCGAAAACAAACGGCCACTTGTCGAGAATCCGATGGCGGTCTTGAAGTGGTCGCGAATAGTCGGTGATTGAAGACGCTGGACGAGTGTGGCTGGCCTTGAAACACAACCGACCAGCCGACCACCGTTGAATGCGATGTTCGAGACCGATGTGACATCATAATTAGCTTAAATGCCTGTCATAGAAGGTATGGGGAGCTCTCTTTGTGGGCGCTTCTGTATTCTCTGCGGAGGTAAAAGCCTTTGCAGTGGCATGTAGCGTGTGTACAACAATGCGTCGATTGTTTTCGAAGAGAAATCTTCATGAACCGTGAACAAACACCGAGCTGTGATCAATCCAGCCACTAGAGTACATGAATGTTCTCGAATGGATAGGTGGAGATATTGGGTATCTTCTCTTCTCAAACGCAGATCATAACAATGGCATCCCTACCAGCTCAATGTCAGCTCTTCTTCAGCTTCGTATGCCCTCACACAGCTCTATGTTCGCGAGCCAACGGTGATCATTAACTATTTTCTGGAGGAGCATTAAGGTCCGCCTTTGGAACTTTGCTCTGATAAGGTAAATCAGGCTTTTCACATCATCCTCTAATCAAAAAGACCTCAATATAGGTGGCCAGTAGTCCACTGTGAACCAATTTTTTGTGGATTCAATGGTCCTACGTTCTAACGTCCAGTTCGCTCCAGTCCAACTGCTCCTACCCGCAGTTAATCCTATTCCATCTGAAGTTTTCTTTCCCGAACCCACAAATTGGCTCTCACCATCTGCCGAGAGGGCCTTATTGGAGACGGACGTTGGTGGACATTGTCTTAACGCAAGTTATTCCATGACACTACTAGGAACAAAATGAGACAGGTCAATAGTGGATGGGCTACTACTTATCATAGAAAGAATGTTAGAATGCCCATGTCGTCACCGTTGGTGTTTGCTCAAGCCGGTCTACACCCAAAATTGTACAGCTACAACTGGACCCTTTTATGGTACCAGGACCATTTTCTTTATCGTATGAGAGATCCCTCCTGAGAAAGGGGAAAAAGACCTATCTGGGAGAGGAGCAGAATTACTTTGCATTGATTTCGTTCCCCGAGCTCTCTCAGGGCATCTAATGCAGTAGTTTTTACAAGATAGTTCTCCCGCCACATAAGTGTCCTCTCAAGAGGACCTATGCATAAACGGGTCTTACGCTTAGGCTTAAGGATGCATAAATGTTCTTCAGGTGTCTCGCTTGAAGTCTCTTGAAAGGCCGTTCAATTGCTAGCTCGCAGCTGTTTTTGTTGAAAAGCGCGTCCCATATTGCAACGCCAAGAACCATGCTAAGTACACTTGGATCGATCGAGGGCATCGTACATGGAAACCAGCCTGATTCAGGAGGGTGCAGTTATGCCGCTGTTCAACATAGAAATTTCAAAAAAAAAAGTCAACCGGGAAGTGTTCAAAATCATGGGGCTCACGATTTGAATCCCATACCTCTCTGATGCGAGCTGTTCCTGAACAGCTCTCCCCCAGACCCTTAATACTTTTTTATTGTTTAAAATTATTGCATTGCATATTTATCCAGGCGAAAATGGTGTAGCTGCAAGTGGCACACACTTCCACGATCCAAGGTTCGAAGCCCATCTGTAATAGCTTAGCCCAACCAGACCTTCCAACCCTCCGGGGTCGGTTATAATGGTACCAGTCTCGTCTGAGAGGACAACAGCAGTGACTTGTTACCGGCTGACCACTGCAATCCTTTGTATGGGCCACGAACGCATTCAAAATTGCAGTACGATTCTAAATGCAAGTCGAATGCGGGGCGCATCCTACAGAAGCGACTGAATAACGCCAAAGATTTCATTATTTATCTTCTATATTTGAATATTCTTTCAAATATTTTTAATCGTCTTTACGAGTATGAGCCACTGGGTAGCTCTGTACGGAAAAATTTTAAACATTTATTGTGAACGAACAAGAAAACTGAGCATCAAGTGGAGGTTGAAACCGCATCAAAATATCACATAATTGACAGTTGGGCGGATTCGAAAACGATTTGGAAAAAATAAGCATTTGAACTAATATGAAAAAAAATGAAAAATAATTAGTACATACACAAAATATTAAAACCAACGCTTGCATTGCACTCAAACGTGTACATAAACGCGTCGGGCTATGATGACTTAGCCTTCAAGACGTTTTTTCACCAAGCGAACAACTTTTCGACATTTCTCAGCACCTGCTTCTGCTTGTCGGGCTTCCTGAAATAGGACTGTTTCAGTTGGAGGAGATAAACTACCACAGTTCAGTTGTGGATGCAGAGGTTGACCCTGAACTCTAATCCTCTCGACGAACGCCCCGCCCCTTTTGCTGCCCTTTTCATTTGTCCAGTTTTCTTGCACATCGCCGGTGACATACCTTCACTGCCTTCAAAGCCAAACGTTTTACTATTTTAGGAGGAAAAAAGGGTTTACAAAATTTCAGGCTGTGAAGAAGGTGAATCACACAAAGGGGGTGAGGGTATAAACTGGTATGAACTGGTGGTGGTATAAATTATGCTTAAAAACAGTACAAGAAATATCTGTGACTATAAATGCAATATAATCAAGCCTATCATGTAGAGGACGCAACGTTACCGTACCTGAATGGTAATTCGTGCCGGGACTAATCGGAAGATAAATGCCTTATCGATGAACTGACAAGAATAGTTGAACAGGTTCACGCAAGAGATTCGTTCCTGTATGAGACCTCCACGACATTCGGATTCCTCGCTGAAATTGGAGCAAATTGGCTAGCCTGGGATAGCATGGAATAATAAGGAACGGATAATTGTGTACCTTAGCCCCTGTACAGCTGTATATGAATAAGATGCTGATGTATTGAGAAGAGGTCAGGAAGTGTAAGCTAGCTGCGGTTCCATTGAAGAAGGGAAGCCGTCTTTGACGCTATTATGTGGCATAAGATTTGGTTCTGATTGTGATGATGTGCCCCGAAGATAGTTTATGGTATCGCGGAACGAGCTGCAGCAGATGTGTGAACGAGCGGGAGGATAGCGGGAGGAGGATTGAGGGAATGAGGTGGAAGAGGACGAATCCCCCATTATGGAAAGCCATTTGTTCGTCTCCTAGCACAACATATGCTGAACGGCTAATTCATGTCATCGAAAACCGGACCTCCTGCCCGTTCACCTTCCACTCTCGCTATAGACACCGGACTTTTCCAAATTGGGACCACCTCCGAGAAGAACATTTCTCAAGGAAAAAGGAGAGTCTTCATTAGTTTTTCCCTCGATAGCCCGTCTCGATTTCCCCCCAAAAATTAGAAGAGCATCTCCTGAACCGAATTATAGGTAAGACATACTCAGTGACCACTTTCTTCAACGAGCTCCCTATTCTAATAACTTTATGTGCTCTACCCTTCCGATGCCTCCTCTTCTGAACACTATTTTACAGCATCACCGTTGACTCACGCCCACTGAAATCTCTGTGGTGCGCAATGTTAGCGCAGAACGCTGCGCGACCGCGCGCGTGATGTTTACTTAATGTGACAACAATTCCTTTTTCGGCTGACTTACTTACATATATTTCCAAGGTCTTTAAATTGCTTGTTTGCTTGATAGCATTGCCAGGCGTGTAACAAGGCTACTGAAAACCGAAAACTGACCTCTTGCTGAGAGAAATTTTCGTGAGAAGGTCGTCGACTTTATCCCAATGGCCGGCGGACTGCTTTCGTTCACATTCGATAAGGCGCTGTTGGATAAGACCAGCGAGAGCGATGTCCTTAAATGCAAAAATCAAATGAATCAGAAGCCATATCATGACTGAATATTAATTAATCAATTATTTATGCATTACTGGATAAATACAAATAACTGACGAGGATGACGTCATCCTCGAATTTAAGTTGTTTTTTTACGAAAAATTATTTGAAAATCTTATCCGGAAACTAAAACCAAGTTATATTGAATTTGAAAATCTCATCAGCTCCCAGAAGTGTTCCATCGTGAGAGTTATATTCTCAGCTGCCCTCGAGAAGCCGGTAGATGATAAAAAACCTTTATAATTCTCACCGCTGGGTGACCAGTTCCCTTGAGGGCCATGGGAAACTGTAAGATGAGGACTAATGAACCGGTTGACGCTCTAGTTGTAAGTTACTTGTTCATCAGCTCTCAATCCACTTACTCAATTCAGAAAAAGGAACATGAACGTTTCAGGCTTTCATGATGAGCAAAAGCGGATTTCCAGCCAAGTTGTGTATAGTCGTTCACCACGACAAAGTTGGCCAACAACTCTGTCGATGGGCTGCTGTTCATTCCCTGTGGTCCCCTTGCCATGACTGATTTTACAGGTTCAAAGGGTAATCAATAGGAAAAGGAACGGTTGTACCACCTGAAAGATTTCATGGATCCTTCCAAGCCGGCCCAGGAAGCCTAAAAGCTATCCAGAACCAGACCACAGAGTCGAATGAGGTCACCTGCAGCTAATCACAGCTTGGAACGAACAGATGTCAACCCCTCTCCTTACCCACCTCAAGGGTCTCGTGCTTATGCACCGTGACCAGTTTCGTTCAAGGAGATTGAAAAATGGGACATGTTTGCTAATAGAGGCTTTCGGATCGGAACCAGCGTCGAGAGCTATCCAATTATTTTACTTTTATAGGACCGTCCCCATCTGAACGTGGCTTTTTTGATCCCAATGTCACTATAACAGAGCTGTTGCAGCGTTATGAACTGGTGTGTGACAAAGCCCGTATTGCGACGTGGTAACGATCAGATCCCGGGCGGAATCCAGTTTTGCTTTCTATCAGCGATCAGTCGATTCTCCCATAGATATCGCTTTTATAGACTGATAATGTATAGTAAATAACTCAAAAAATCAAAAGGATGCCCTACCTTTCCTGTCTTTTGCAAGTAGACGGGGAACTTTGCACTGAACTTATCGGCGATTGACGTGAGGTTTTTCAGGCACGCTGAAACACTTGAGCACTTTAGAATCGGCCCTTGATCCCTCTAATCCATCACAATAGCCCTAGCAAAGGAGGACACGCCGTCACGCCGTCAATCACAACCAAAGAGGACGCGCCACCCGTTGCTACAGTCGAATATTTAAATCTAAACGATATCGGAACATTTGTATGGGAACGGCTATGTGGCGAGCGACCTGCGACGTCGTAACGATCGCTATCGGACAGGAACCACACGGGAAACGGTGCGGAAATCAAAGGTTTGACGATTTATCGCGAAGACCTAGCGTGAGAATGACCAAAACCGACTTTTCTTCGGATCCGGGAAAGGTATTTAGGATTTAAAATCAGCTTAGTTACTAGGACGACCTCTGAAGCATAAGTGACCTATAACCGGTCCCTAACAAGTGGGAGGGAGCTTCTCGATTTCCAGTTTGAGCTTCTTTCAATCCAAAAGGTTTCGAATAACAGTCGGTGCGCCCTTGTATTTGGACCTGACGCAAATTCATAAAGCTTCAGAGGAGGTGTGAATATGATGGTATGTATCCAATCCTTCAAAATGCGCCACGAACACGAATTTCATTCCTAAATGAAGGGCAGGCCTACCGGCAAAAATGGGTTCACCCGAGCGGGCTATTGAAAGTCTAGCCTACTCGCAATAGCTCGCTCTGACGCCGTCAATAAACCTAATTTCCGCCAGGTCTTCGTGGTACCGAAACCCCACACCAACTGGAATATCGTTTGGCCTATATGGTTATATCATAGACGCCAATGAGCGTTCTCGATCGCTCTGAATTTGACGATATCGGATGGGAATGATTCTTTTTAACAAAAATATGCCTCCTAAGCCGAGGTCAGACTAGCCTGCGAATGGATTTAGGCAGAGGATTCATTGGAATACCTTTTCGAATTGGACTGGAATTAGGAAGCGTGGCGTGTTCTATGAAGAGTGAGCCCGACCGAACATTCACTTCCTACCCACTTCGCTTCTGATAATCGCATTTGGAACGGAAGTTCTAAGCAATCACGAGGGAAGCATTCCAGTTATCCAGTTGATAGACTGAACGTGACATCAGAAAAACATGTCCCGGCCCCACCAAGGAGTTCCTCCAAGCAGTGAAGCACCATTGTTGATTGACACGGACAGCTGGTTTGATGCTGTTCATGCTCAATGAAAGACAGAAGAAAAAATCGAAATCTCGGGTGGTTTTCATCAATTCTCCGTGACTTTGACTACCTTTCGAGATTTCGAAAGAACAGAACATGCTTGAACAGCCAATAGCCGATGTAAATACTGGGAATGACCGATTTAGTAACTCAACCTACTGTAGGAACCTTAAGGTGACTCAACCTTGGCCTCCATAAGTGATTGTTCTCAAGAGTTCCTCCTATCTCAACTGGCGATTATCGAATTGAGAACAGCAATTAACAGAAAAAAGTGGCGATTGCGGTCGAACATTCGAACAAATCGATAGTAATTGGGAGGAGAAGAGCTCTTTACAATACCATAAACAGGAAGTAAAAGATTTTAAACCAACCACTAGTGTCAAATTCGTCCTTGAACCAGAGAGATGCACGATTTGGCGTTGAACTTGACACCTTCTCCACTGGACCATCACTTGTTGATCGGGTTTTCTGGAATTGACGTTTTGATAGATTGGCTTGAATGAAAATTTGGATGGAGAATCGATAAAAAAAAGGCAAAATAGATCTAGGTCTGAAGAAAAAAAGCCATTGAGAAGGTAGAAAATCGTCGCAGGCCATTCTGTTGACTATCTACCTCTACCATTCGATTGGTGATGCCATCTGAACGTACCTTTGGGATAAGATACTTCTCGAAAAGGGACCACTGATGTTCTAACAGTGTTCCAACTACGTGAAATAGATCCTCACGTGAGAAGGAAGAAAGTACCGGTGTATGTCTTACAACTTAGATGCGATAGTATAGGCCTCTAGGGACGTTTCCACCTTGCCACCTTTCCCTTCTAGCTAAACCATTAGGATTCGGAGCCAACATCGAGAGCTATCCTTCCTTACCTTTAGTTCACTCTCACCTCACTTGTGGGACCTCTCTTTTATAGGACACTGATCCGACCGTTTGTTGTAGCCCTTTTCGATCCCACTGTTACTACAACCGAGCTGTTGCAGTGTTAGGGACTGGTGCGTGACAAAGCCCGTATTGCGACGTGGTAACGTACAGATCCCGAGCGGGATCCAGTTTCGCTTAACCCTTTACCAGAGAATGAAAGTCTCCCGTATCGATCTGCAAAGTTACATATATGGGTAGTTTGTGAATTTCGTAAGCGCTTGACCTCTTTCTCCCAGTTTTTATGGAATAGCAGGGGCGGGGGAGCGGGGAAGCGACGAGGTTGAAGTGGTGAGAGATGTAAGCCGTCCTGTCCCTTAGGATTTCCAGACTCGTCAATTTGATACGATCGACGTTTGTTAGACAATAGCCACCTTCTTCGGAGGTTTTTTTTTNTTTTTTTTTCGGAAAGCCACCAAAGCACAACGTGTGGAACGATCTCGTCGATACCATGACCACAAAACTGAGAATAGCTCGATACCCATGCTTGGAACTCCTAGCAGCTCTCAGGGAAGTTTCTGGGGAACACTCAGGGAATCACAATTATCATTTAGACCAATGGTATCGAAGGTATTGAATCTTTACTATTCGTCGACACTGATTTCTTCTCAACTTCCGAGTTAGGCCTGAATACCCTCCTGCAGAGATTTCTCCCACAGAGGCATCATCCATTGGGGAGATCGTCAGTCAATCCCAAATGGATGCAATTAACAAGCAATAAAGGAGAAATTGATTGCTATAAATTCGACAAAAAAGCAAAATCTCAAGAGAACCAGCGCCTTCACACTTCAGGGCCAGTCAATGTTGGCGTCACGATAGGAAAAATGAGAGGATGTAGGATGTACGCCTAAACGTTTTCCGGAATTCTTTCTTGAGCGACCTTTTCAGGTAATGGGCGATTGTCAGATCAATAGCAGCACCTTTACAATCGTCTTGAGAACCGTGATGTTCAAACCAACGATTTAGGGGCCGATCACGCCGCTCCTCACATTACTTTCACACACGGGAGTTGCCGTTCAACAAAGTAAAATGACAAGGGAAATTCATTGAGGCGAAAAAAGGCTATACCGGTGGAGGGTGGTTTCTTGGAAGCTTGCCAAGGTGATGGTAGTCAAAAATGAAAATTCAAAATAGAAGGAACGGAAAATTCGACAATCTAGAAAAGATCAAATTTGAAAGCTGCTGCCGAGCTGAGGTGTTTTAGACGTAAACTAACCTCGTCTAGAGGTGATGGCTCAACTAACTGTGCCTTTTCTTGTACCTGAAAAGTCTTCTTAGAACATTACTGATGTAAATCGCATAGATTTTGGAAGGGAGGGATAAAAAAGCTCCGACAGCTTACCTGAACATTGATTGGAGACAGGAACTGAGGCAGTTGAGGGACAGGAAGAGGCTGAAGCTGAGCTGCAGGGCCAACTGGAGATCCAGCGACGACAACCTGTCAAATAAGTCTTTTTAAAAATAAATTTAGAAAATGATTAAGTATTAAAGTGAGGTTCTGTTATAGAACTCCAGGCTCCATATTCCCTCCCAGTACATAAGAAAATGGGAACCGTCGACAGCATCAAGTAGCCCGAATACTTTGGGAGAAGGAGCATAAGGTCTGATTCTGAAACCTCGAAGATCAGATCAGAGAGACACTCCCAGAAGGGTCCTTCCCATGAGTATATCTTGATCCCAACCCACATAAAGATCCGATCCGTCTAGCTTAACTGGAATCTGGGTTGAAATACTCAACAAAAGGTCAGCGGGACTACGGAATCGAGAGCGGGGAACTGTAGCGATGATACCAGACCAGTCCGTTGACTTTTACCGATCGAAATCTGACCCGTAGATGAAACTGCATGATTATATACGCCGGTTACGGATGCATACCGTCAAGAAACAACATTAGTTTAGCCAATTAGAACCACGAGTACCCTGTGGATATTGACAAAAATCAACATTTGACGTCATTTTTTCCCATAAATACGGGAAGCAAGTCATTTGTTCAAGACCAAAATCGATGCTATTCAGCCCTCCGGTTTCAGATCCACGGTAGGAGAAGCCTCCTCCTGGAACGAGGTCTCTTTGGGATCCTTGCTTAACAATACCTACACTGTGAATATCTGAAGCTCTTTCGACCTCCACATTTGGTCCTCTACTCTTATCGGCCTTATAAACAAGAGGAACCTCATGCAGATGGCTTGGGAGAATTGAAAAGCCTTAGGAAAGCAATAGTAAACCCATAAACCCCCTCGGTATTGAGCCTCCCTCATGACTTCCTTGTGATTCTTGGAGCTGAGACAACTTTCGTTTCTGAAGCGTCCTGATAAAGCTGTGAATTATACGGCCCTGACCCCCCCCCC